GGGGGGGCTAAATTAAAACTTTTAAGTTACCAGGTGAGATATGTTAGTTACTCTGTAAAAATATTCAAATTTGAAATGTTTTCAATCACTACCTAAAATTGTTGAAAACGGGGATGGGGTGGGGGGGGGGGGGCTAAATTAAAACTTTTAAGTTACCAGGTGAGATATGTTAGTTACTCTGTAAAAATATTCAAATTTGAAATGTTTTCAATCACTACCTAAACATTAGTACTGAGGTAAGATTTGTTTTATAATAAATTTATTGATATACCGGTCAACATACTTGTGATTTTCTTTTTTCCATAGGCATTGACCCAGCTGGACCATATTTTGAGAACACTGACCCAGTTGTAAGACTCGACCCGTCTGACGCTCTATTTGTTGACATCATTCATTCTGATGGCGAATCTTTGCTACAGTTGGGTAGGATTTATTTTTTAATATTCTTATATATATTGTTTTGGTAGCTTGGTGTACCGTTGAAATTTCTGTTACCCTTGGGTTTTGATTCATCAACAAATGCTAGAATATAACTGAAAGATAACCATAAGCCATTTGGATTTTAGCGCCATTTATTGTTTTCCATGTGTGTAGCCGAGTGGTGAGTGACTGAACATTTTGAATGTTTTGGTCTCAACATGAGAAAATCACGTCCTGAGAATCATATTTCTTTCTTGATCTTAAATGTTTGCTAAAGACATAGAAACGACAACATAAAAGACGCATAAAAGGGAAACTCTATAGCGGCCGGATAGAACTAAAAACAACTGCTACTTCCTTCAACTTCAATAATAAATTTAGAATAATCGTTTTACATGGAACCCACCTGATGTAGCCTGACATAACCTGACAGAGCCTGATATACCTTGATATAGCCTGACAGAGCCTGATATAGCCTGACATAGCCTGATATACCCTGATATAGCCTGACAGAGCCTGACAGAGCCTGATATACCCTGATATAGCCTGACAGAGCCTGACAGAGCCTGATATAGCCTGACATAGCCTGACATAGCCTGATATACCCTGATATAGCCTGACAGAGCCTGATATACCCTGATATAGCCTGACAGAGCCTGATATACCCTGATATAGCCTGACAGAGCCTGATATACCCTGATATAGCCTGACAGAGCCTGACAGAGCCTGACAGAGCCTGACAGAGCCTGATATAGCCTGACATAGCCTGATATACCCTGATATAGCCTGACAGAGCCTGATATACCCTGATATAGCCTGACAGAGCCTGATATACCCTGATATAGCACTCAGTGAAAAAGGGTCAACCACGGGGATGTGATAGTCCTACGTGTGTGTGAATGACCAAAAACAAAGACTTTAAGGCAAAGCTATTTGTAATTTCAGTGGGTGTGTACTGGTCTGTGGTTACCTAGAGCGGTGGCACTGAGAGTTTTGTGTTTCTTATTCCCATTTGCGGCACATTGCCACCTACGCTATTATAATATCTGATAAATTATTCAAGATAGTACTATTTTTTTCCCCTCAACTGTGTCATCTGATTAAAATGCACTAAGTGCTATTAAATTTTTAAAAACCATCCAAGTTTTTATTGAGCTTGATATACACATCTTACAAGTTGATACCATTTATACATGTAAATTGAAAACACACCACCACTTGTTTTGGTTGATCATGTTTGCTCTTTCGCCTAAGCCATTAATACAAGTTGTTGTATGTTTCTTTGATCGTAGGCCTAGGCATGAAGCAAGCGTGTGGTCACCTGGACTTTTTCCCCAATCTTGGCCGTGACCAGCCTGGATGTACGAGGAACGCATTTACTCAGATCGCTCAGTGGGGTCTTACGGAAGGTAACTATCTCGTTCGGGTCTTACCTAAGTTAAATATCTCAGACGTGTCTTAGCTAAGTTCATATATCAGTCGGTTCTTAGTGAAAGTAACTATCTGAGTTAGGTCTCTTTGAAGGTGCATATTTAGATTAGGTCTTATGAAAAGTAAATGTCTATGTGTGGTATTAAGCAGGGGCGTCATTTCAGGGTTTTTTTCAGTGAGGGGGTGGGGAGAATATGTTAAATTGTTTATTAGTACATATAAATTTAAATAAACCTAAAAATAATGCATGCACCACCCTGACCTATTTATATAACGTCCCTGGTATTAAGGAAGGTAATTATCTCAGTGATGTATAGGGGTGTAAATATCCCAGTGGGGTATTGCACAAGTTAAATATCTCAGCGGGGTATTTTGAAAGATAAATACACAAGTTGGATATAGTGGTAGGTAAATATCTCAGTGGGGTCAGGGGCGTAGCAAGGGATTTGGGGGGATTTGGGGGCCCGGGGGGCTTGGCCTCTTTAGGGGCCCCTGCATTTTGACATTCGACATTATTTAAAGTACAAAAAAAATTTCGGACACGCCTTTGGGGGCCCACCCTCAAGTAGGGGCCCAGGGTGCCTTTCAAATTTGGAACCCCTCCCCTTCCCCTAACCACGCCACTGAGAGGGATATTACAAAGTAAATAACTCAGTTGGGTATTGCGCAAGTTAAATATCTCAGCGGGGTGATAAGAGCTTAATAGCCCAGTAGGGTATTGTGAAGGGTAAATATCTCACTGGGGTAATGTGAAGTTAAAGTTATCAGCTGGATTTTGCGAGGTAAATATCTCAGAGAAGTATTGTAGAAGGCAAATATGTCAGTAGTATATTGCGAATTTAATAAGTCAGTGGTGTATTTTGGAAGGTAATTATCTTAGTGGGAAATTTCGAGGTAAGTGTCTCTGTTGGGGATTACAAGGTAAATATCTCAGTGGAGTATTGCAAAGTACATATCTCAGCGGGTTTCATAGACGATAAATCTATCAGCGGTGTCCCGCATTATAATTAGATAGTGGTAAGGGAATGTCCGGATTACATTGAAGAATACGTTGATGAATGTTTCATAAATCACCGTCCAGGTGCAGTCGAGACACTCATCTGTAATCACATGAGAGCATTCCACTACTACGTTGAGAGCATCAACTCGAGGTGTCCTTTTATGGGTTACCCATGTGACAATGAGAACGACTTTTTAGTAAGTCAATGATCCATTTTTTTAGACACTAATGCAAGCAAATACAACCAAAGGCCAATGACATGCAAATGACATGTTAATGATATTTTTATTTTTAAATTACTTACATTTCTGGCAGGTTAGGTGAAATCATTGTGTGAAATTATTCAATGAAAATTTATGTTTTTTTTTAAACCTTGAAACGATTTAAACATAATAACAGTTAACATTAAATGTATTAAATCTTCAATAAATTACTTTAAAAATTTTTAACATTCTTAATGTTCAAAGAATGGTAAATGCAACTCTTGTGGACCTGATGGATGTCCATATATGGGTTTCCATGCAGATAAAAGCAAACTTGCAAGAGGTCAAAGAAAGATGATATATATGACAACCGCTGACAGACAGCCGTTCTGTGGTAAGCACATTTGCCAATGCTAACAAATACATCATACAACAATAACCTTCTTTGCCAATGCTAACACATAAATCATACAGCAATAACCTTATTTGCCAATGCTAACACATATCTCATACAACAATAACCTTCTTTGCCAATGCTAACACATACATCATACAACAATAAACTTATTTGCCAATGCTAACACATCCATCATACAACAATAGCATTATTTGCCAATGCTAAAACATACACCATATAACAATAACCTCCTTTGCCAATGCTTACAGATACATCATACAACAATAACGTTCGTTGTCCATGCTAACACATACATAATACAACAATAACATTCTTTGCCAATGCTAACGAAAACATCATACAACAATAACCTTCTTTGCCAATGCTAACACATACATCATACAACAATAACCTTATTTGCCAATGCTAACACAAACATACAACAATAACCTTCTTTGCCAATGCTAACACATACATCATACAACAATAACCTTCTTTGCCAATGCTAACACAAACATCATACAATAATAACCTTATTTGCCAATGCTGACACATACATCATACAACAATATGCTTATTTCAAATAACTTTAGAACTTGGATCCATGCGTCTTTTATAACGTACAAAATCATTATGATATGTCGTAGCAAGAAATGACAATTAGTTAAGAGGTTGCCTTTACTTCAATTAGCCACATTTTGTCCACACCAAACTTAAGAAAACCAGTATTAAAAAAATGAGCAATATATGCCCAGAAAAAAATAGAGTTTTTTTCCGTTGTAGAGTACCACATGGAGATTAAGTTGAAGTTGAGTTCCAGTCAGGGGCAGGACGAACAGGGGCAAGTCTCAGCTGTGTTCACGGGTGACAGTGGCACCACGTCCAAAATCCAACTCAACACCAGGTGATGATTAATGTCATTAACTACTATTTTTTTTATCATTTTTCGCTTTTGCGTGTTTAGGGAAAATTCTCGGTCGGCTATTTGACCCACTTTCTGTCAACCAATAAGGATTCAGCTTGCTGTCGATGGCAACACGTTCTTTCAAAATAGGCCCTACCCCCATCTCTAAAAATTATTTCTTCTTGTTTTTTCTGCACAATGACTAAACTATGTTGGCACTGAATTCACGAAATAAAATTGCAGACAACTGCGCTAATTGAGATTTGTTAAAAATAATGGCAAGTGCCTTTGGTAGGTAAGATTTTCTTTTGTTTTATGATAACAGTTGGTGTAATAATCTGTGGTGTAAAAGCAGCTGGATCGTTAGCATATTAAATATAAAATAATTTTACTGCATATAAATGATTTATTAACTAAAACTTTGTTGTTAGGAGTTGTTTAATTTTTAAATTTTCTTTAAACTAAAAACCGAAAATGTTGTTATAATTTTAAAATTAACTTATTGTAGTATCTTATTTACAAAACATGCTAACATTTGCGCAAATAAGCTCAGTTTTTTTAAAGTCTTTAGTTACTACTTATAACAACTTTGTTTTCTACAGTCCAGTTGTCTTTAGATCTGGAGATGTCCATCAGTTCTCTGTAGCGACGCCTTCAGATATCGGGAATATCCGATCTGTTACACTGTCCTTTACACACATCATACCTCTCCTGAACCCCTTCCAGTGGAACATCCTAGGGCTCAGACATCCCAAGTTGTACATAGATGAAGTAGACATCCATCGACAGGAAGCTGGCGCAGAGTAAGTTCCCTGGATTTCATCGCATCCGGTTTAGATGTTGCACCATCTTTGGCATTTTAAATAATTAATTCCAATCATTGCAAGGAGAGCGTTTTTGGTGTATCTACTTTAAATCATAATTTTGTTCAACAAGGCTTTTAAGTTGACACCTGCTTCTTTTTAGATATGAAGAGTATTGACAGATTCTACTGCAAAATGTAATATAAAATTATTTTTTTTAAAAAATAAATTCAGTGTACAATTTGTAATGGATTTATTTGCATTAATTACTCATCTAAACAGTTAATAGACATTTTATTTACGTTTTTTTTCAGTACTCTAATCTGTGGTTCTGGAATCAGCGTGGAAACTGACCATTCAATTACCTTATCTCAGCCCTGTTAGCAACTGTGCGAATCGATCATTACAGCACCTTCTATCAGCCATGTTAGCAACTGTAGAAAGTGACCATTCCATACCTTATCGCAGCTCTGTTAGCAACTGTAGAAAGTGACAATTCCATTACCTTATCTCCGCTTTAGTAGTTTGACCACCAGTCCATATACTCATTTTAGCCTTAAGCGCTTAATGGAAACTGACCTCTCCATTACATCTATTCAGCATTGATAGCACGTAATAACAAAACTTATAAAATAAATGTCATTATTGACTTTTGAAATAGATGAATTGTTTATATTTCTATGTGCATACTTACTTTGTGGGAAAAATAATAGCATAGAAACATATTAGCCTTAGCCACATCAGCCTTTTTACAAATATAGTCTTATACATTCTAAATAGTAAGATACATGGGCGCCAGTCGGGGGGCAAGGGGGGTGGGGCACTTGCCCCCCCCCCCCGGATTGATTGGATAAAAAATTTTTAGACAAAAATAGACACAAAATTTATTAAAGTAAAGAGAAAATAAAGAGAAAGTAACTAAGCTGATGTCCTTTCCGTTCGTTCACCATACAAATACGTTCACCATACAAACACGCTACAGTAAATTAAAACTATATTAAAACATTACTAAAAAAATTGTGCGCCCCCCCCCCCGAAAAGTTAATCGATTTCTTTTGCCCCCCCCCCTAGAAAGAGCTGATGTCCTTTCCGTTCGTTCACCATCCAAATACGTTCCCCAAACAAACACCCTACATTAAATTAAAACTATATTAAAACATTACTAAAAAAATTGTGCGCCCCCCCCCCCGAAAAGTTAATCGATTTCTTTTGCCCCCCCCCCTAGAAAGTTTTCTGCGGGCGCCCATGACTGAATGGCTTATATAATAATTTGAATTTGATGGTCTTAAACTATTTGAAAAATTAAGTTTTAAACAAGACCCATGAAAAGCGTGTGGAAATGTTAAACCAAGTTCTTTTTTAAATTTTTAAGGGTGCAGTTACATAACGTATTCATCTTTAGCAATAGTTTAGCAGATCATAGATGCATAACATTGGATGACATTGGAAGTGGCATGTAAAAACTAATCAACTTGGTAGATTTGATACATTTTTGGATTTTAAAAAAAAAAAAAAAACATACATAAGCTCTAGGGTTGAGACCAATAAATACGTTTTATGCAGAGACAATCAAATTAAACAGTAAGAGCACATTTAAATATATATAACAGCTATTTTAATATAAATGTAGTTCTCCGCCAAAAAGACAAGCAATGATAAGACCTGATGACCAATCTGGAGAACCACAATCAGACTGACGTGCTAGTAATGGACTTCGCAAAGGAATTTGACCGTGTGAATCATAGTTTGCTTCTACACAAACGCCAGAGATATGGGATCCAAGGCACCACTAAAACATGGATCTCTAGCTTCCTCAGCCACCGATGCCAAGAAGCAGTGGTGGACGGTACAAGCTCCTCGTTTGTCAATGTGAAGTCAGGTCCCCCAGGGATCAGTCCTGGGCCCCTGTTTGTTCCTAGCATACATTAAAGACCTACCATAGAAACTGACATCACAGGCAAGACTGTTCGCAAATGACACACCAGTGTATAGGACGATCGCCAACAGATCTGACCAGGACCAGCTACAACAGGATCTCAACAGCTGAGTGGGAGATGAGCTGGGACATGGAATTTCCCCCTGCCAACTGCCAAACACTATCAGTCTCTAGATGTTGTACTCCTCTACACTACCAATACCAACTGCACGGCGATATACTTGAGCAAGTTTCCTACGTAAAGTACCTGGGTGTTACCATTCAAAGAGAGGTCCGCTGGGACGAGCATATTAACAATGTATGTAACAAAGCAAACAAGACCCTAGGGTTCTTAAGGCGAAATCTAAAGATTGGCAACTCCTGTGTGAAAGAAAGAGACTTTAAAGCCTTTGTCCGTCCGATTTTAGATTATGCATCTTCAGTCTGGGACCCATTTACCCAGAAGAGCATTGACAGGTTGGAGGCGGTCCAGCGACGAGCAGCACGCTTTGTCCTAAACCGCTACAGGAATACCTCTAGTATAGAAACACTAGGCTGGTCACCATTGGAGAAACGACGACGACAATCCAGGCTCTCCATGATGTACAAGATAAATAATGGGCTGGTCCACTGTTCCAGTATTAAACAGAAACTCGTCCCTCTCCCCCAAAGACAGCGACGAGGCCATGACAGGCAATTCAGGCTCATACCAGCAAGAAGCCAGTATAGGAGCTGCTCATTCCTGCCCAAGACAATCAGGGACTGGAACAATCTTTCAAAAGGAACAGTTGAGGCGACAACACTAGACACATTTGCCTCAAGCCTTCAAACCCCTAGTGCATGATTACCTCACAAAGTGGCACTGGAAATCAGTGAAATTTCCTCATCAACACCAGGAATAGAAACATTGCAAATCCCATCTACATGCATAGGAGCCAAAATGATCAATAAATTGATCATGGGCCCTTAAGATATAGAAGAAGAAGAAATAATCTTAACATTGCGAAAAATTATATTATACTAATCTTTGCTAGCAGACATAATGGATACGTTGATATTAGTCGACATTCAATTCTCTTTTAAATTAAAAATGCATTTTAAAAACTACCATTTTCCAGTTGTCAAAATAAGCACTCATTTCTTTTTAATTTACTTCTGAATGAGGGTTACCGGAAAGTTGATCGAAAGAAATTTCGTCGAATGAAAAGTGATCGATGGAAATTTTGATTGAACGGGAATTTGATCGAATCTTTTTTTTCAAATGACACGTTAAAATTTTCGTCAAATTTCTTTTTGAACGCACAATACTTTATAGTAAACAAAATAATGCGTTCAAAAAGAGATTTGAAACAAAATTTTATCGTGTCAACTGAAACAAAGATTAGAACAAATTTCCGTTCGATCAAATTTCCGTCGATCAATTTTCCGACGAAGAAATTTTTTTCGATCAAATTTCCGGTAACCCTCATTCAGAAGTAAATTAAAAAGAAATGAGTGCTTATTTTGACAACTGGAAACGCTGAATAATGTATCATAATAGCATGTAGCAATTTCGGCTATATTTGCACACAATTACAAATGTAATAACATATTATTAAAATCTTCAAAATCATAACGTCCTGTTGAGACACTAACAGTGATTTATAAAAAAAGCGTCATTCCATTTATTCATTTCAACTTTAAAATAATACCAGCGCTAAAAGGAACGCGGTAAACTATACGTTTATTCTTCTTGACGCCTCTGTGGATTCGACGCCTTTGGGAAGTATAGACGTATAGTTTTCAATTTCATGCATCAGATAATGGATCCACATTGTAGATAATGAATCCCCATCATAGATAAGAAATCCCCATCAGGGATAATTAATCCCAATCATAGATAATGAATACCCATCTTAGATAATGAATACCCATCATAGATAATGAATACCCATCTTAGATAATGAATACCCATCATAGATAATGAATACCCATCATAGATAATGAATACCCATCTTAGATAATGAATACCCATCAAAGAATATGAATACCCATCATAGATGATGAATACCCATCTTAGATAATGAATACCCATCATAGATAATGAATACCCATCTTAGATAATGAATACCCATCTTAGATAATGAATACCCATCATAGATAATGAATAACCATCTTAGATAATGAATACCCATCATAGATAATGAATACCCATCTTAGATAATGAATACCCATCTTAGATTATGAATACCCATCATAGATAATGAATACCCATCATAGATAATGAATACCCATCATAGATAATGAATACCCATCTTAGATAATGAATACCCATCAAAGAATATGAATACCCATCATAGATGATCAATACCCATCTTAGATAATGAATACCCATCATAAATAATGAATACCCATTGTAGATAATAAATCCATATTGCAGATAAATAATCCACATTGTAGATAATGAATTGCCATTGTAATTACGGAATCCCAATTTTATAAAAATGAAAGAAACATTCTATATTACAGTTTGTTGTCGTGAAAATAAAGGAAACCATTTTCAGATATTGCAAAGAGAATTAAAGTGAAGATTTATTTTAAATTTCGACTGCAATACTTAATTTAAAAAGTAATCTTGTTGATGGAACAAAACAAGGCACATTTTAGAGGTCCAATCGCCAATTGTGATAAACGTGTCCACCACAGCTCTATTACATACTTTAATTTATCTATAACAGTTCACGTGATTATGTGCTGATTCTACAATGGTGCTGAGATTTAAAAATATACTTTTCAACGCAGTCTAAATTTGGAAAAAAACCATTTATTGAATGTAGTTATTTTTAGACGTTAACATGTGTGTCCACTTCCTTGTTTTTATAGATGATGTCGAGAATAAGGCTAACGTTACACTTATACGTTCATCTAACTGCAAAAGTGCACGAGTTATCTTGTGTTGAGTTAAACCAGGCATCGTGACCACCAAGTTCTCAGAACTCATGTCACCTCTGCTTGAGAAATAAACAAGGTGGGGCCGAAAAATTAAAAAAGGCTAAACGTCTTGACCCAATATCAGCCATTCTAAGCACATCTCAAGTATTTGAGAATCTTTAAACGACATTGTATTTCTTTAAATACATGGGTCCATACTGCAAATAGAAGGATAGTGGTTTGAAAATACAGGTTTGGAAAGGATACAAACACGCAATTTAAATGATCGGGACACAAAACGCTAATATTGACCTTAAATATTTATAAATAATTTGTACTTACGGTGTTCAATCCATTTTTATTATGGCATTTGTCTCAAAATAACTATGTGTAATAGTATTGTAGTACAGCCATTAGCATAGTTAAGATTAGTGCCGCAGGTGGCGTGCAAAGAGTTTTACCCCACCCTTTCCAAGAAAAAAAACTCGTAGAAAATGCCACACATACCTGTAAAGGTAAAAAAAAAAGTGCCACCCTGTTGGAAACATTCCTCCGCATTCCCTTTCCTACGCCCCTGAGTATAACTAATAGTAAAGTAAAAACACATTATAAGAGTAAATAACTACTATTAAAAGTGACATTTTTCCACAATGGGTTTCCAAAACACGTTTTAGTCCGTCGTTCTGTGTGGCCTTTACCTGTAATCTATAAACTAGACATTCAGATAAGAGAATCATAATCACGGAATAAGGTTCATGACATTCTCTTTAAATAAGAAACTTAGTTTTTTTCATTTATGAGCGGCAATATTTTAATTTTACATTGTTGTTATATAAAATGTCTTTTCTAAATATAAATTATTTTTGTTTAGGTTCTAAAATGGTATTAAAAATAAACCTCACTCAATCTCTTTTTTGTCGCACACGATACGTTTCAACAAAAGATAAAAAAAAATAATATAGATATTGTTTGTGTTAAGTAAGTTTAACGATTGCTATCTGTATCTACACATAGGCGTAACTTAAATTATTGCCGACCGGACCGGGTAAAGTTTTCTGCTCTATTGTACATAAAAAGAACTCGACACTTGGCCAAAATATGTCACCCCTATATATAAGGCAAATGTAGCGGCCCATCACCATCCCCATTAAGCCCCATGTCTCTACACAATCCAATCATGTATCTAAACATGTCTTTAAAATAAGTCCCAGGATAGGTTACTTCATGTAAAGTGTATCTACGCAAGTAATAGTTTTTAACCTGACCTTGTTGACGTGGCTAAGTAGAAGAAAGTGATATATACCAAGGCGGACGGAGATAAGCTTTTGTTTTTACTCCAGACATTGTGGAGACACCACCTGCCCTCAGATCTAGCCGCTACTTCAAGGTCTGTCTAAGGCTTTGAGGGATTCGTTCGGAGCTGATTTTATTGTTGCAGACCAGCTACCCCGGAGTTTCGATCATCATGGAGTGGCAGGCGTTTATTTTAGCCGTCATGGTGATGGTGGTGGACATGAAAACCTTGGAACCAGAAAACCAAATTGAAAAACGTAAGTCACTTAAAACAAGATTTCATTTAAATTCGGTCAAGTTTTATTGTCTCTGAGAGAAATATTCAAGTAACATTGTTTGACTTTCGCGAACCACACTGCGCTAACAATGTAGCCTACAAACTTGACCAGATCAGTTGGTAGGTTAAAAATCTTACCACTGAAATGGTTATGTCTTACCCTTCGATTAGAGACGATGAGCAATACAATAGTCATTGGTTTCACAAAATCAACTTGGTTGAGGGTGTCCTATAAATTGTTGGTGGCTGGATCGCCTTTGCTGCATCATCTAAGTGAGCGCGCGAAAGAAATCGAATCTCTCAGAAGGAATGAGAAGCTCCTCAGTAACAACCATTATTCTTGTAAATTCTCTTAGAATGACATGTGTTGGTCTCAAATACTCTTCAAGAAGTATTCACTTTTCGTGTAACATTCGGATTCAGGACTGTACAATTTAAGAATTTCAAGGCATTTTTGTCAAAGCTAAGCTTAAAAGTACGTTTTTATCCGCTAGACAGTAGTTGACTAGAACGACATAGGAAAACAATCTTAAAGTTTTTGATAGAAAGCAAAAGAGATAAATTGTAATCGTTGTTTATGTGAAGAAATAAAGCTAGTCTAAAATAATTTTCACGGTGAAGAATATATTTTACTGCCTTGACATATCTGACAGAAAATTGTGGATATATGAATGAGGAGTGCCGTGTTATTGACGGTACTGGATTCTACAATGTGTGATGCTGCTTGAAGGCAGATATACTGCAAAAATCAGTAGTATCAGATTCTTCTTCTATATTTTGGGGATTAAAGATCAATAGTTTGACAATTCTAGCTTACTTGTTTGTAGAGGGGCTCGCCATGCAACTGCGCATGATGTTGAAGAGAATACATCACAGTTGATGTAATTTATGTGATAGTTAAAAAAGCAGAGGGGGTTGGGAGGAGGAACATGAGGATTCAGATTTACTTTTGCATGAGTTTTGATGAAAATATCGATCAACACATTGTTTCGTTAGAATATTACTTTTGTAAGCTTCACTTGTATCAGACATTGAAGTATTCCGACAGATGCCGATCTCTACATATGTGTATTTTTTCCCCATGAATCGGTCGATACCATCTTCAAATGTATAATAAATTCAGCGATTCTATTTCAAAATTTAAAAAACACTTTAGTATAGACTTAATTAACACTCAATAAAGTTTTACAAATGTACTTGTTTTTTTTTTTTAAAGAAATTATCAAATTACAAGACGATACAATTTTTCCCTTTTAACCGTTGTTTAATATCTTGAGCATTTTTAAATTTCGCATATGATCCTTTGTCTTCTAGTTTCTTTACCATGTAATTTATATACTGTTCATATAAATATGTGTACTTTTGAATTAATATAATAAATCTCAGAAGGAACACCCCTTGTGTTAACAGATAACTGGTAAAAGCTTGACCCACACAAGATTATAACACACTAAATATTGAATTTAAAATGAGGGTTAAATATCTAAAAAGAAACCTTCTCCATAAATGTGTTTTTCAGGTGCTGTTGTATGTTATGACAATTATGGATGTTTTGCGTCAGAGGGACCTTTTGGAATCAGTGCTGAAAGACCCTTGGTTCTAACTCCACAATCACCTGATAAAGTTGGGTATGCACTTTTATCTATTTTGTACTGAACTTTATATATATACAGAGAAAAAGAGAGAGAGAGAGAGAGAGAGAGAGAGCGATAGAGAATCTGAATTAAAAGCTGAAAAATCTGTTTTTTATTTTGAATTACATGTCCTTCATTGTCCACATACTTATGTATCTCATAACATTTGCAATAATGCTGATGTAACGCTTGCATTTCTCAGAGTGGTGTTCAAACTGTACACACGGGAGTACAAGACCACGTCCCAAGACTTGCAAGCCATTCATGTCAGCAATGCTGCCACAACCTTGTCCCACTTCAAAGCAAGACCCACCAAGATCCTCGTGCACGGATTCCTGGACAACCCAGCACTCACGAGTTGGCAAAAGGTTAAACTACTCCTGATCTTGTCCAGCTACAATTTTATTAGTCAAGTGACTTTAACATCAATGAACACACTGCTTGTGAAGCATTGCTTTCTTTCTAAATCTAAAAGACATGTTAATTAGTATTTAATATCTAGAATAAGTGTGTAGATTAAATTACATGGAATGCGTATTTTGTGTTTGAAAATATGTACATATAAATACTCATGAGATATAAATGGTTACACGATAAATTATTCATGCTTCAGGACCTAAAAGACCAGTACCTCAAGTTTGCTGACTACAACGTAATTATTGTGGACTGGTCAAAGGGGAACCTACCCCCTTACACCCAGGCGACAGCCAACACAAGAATTGTCGGTGCTGGAATCGCCTTGTTGGTCAAGGAACTCATCGTAAGTCCCGGAAATATAAAAATTGTGAAATTTTTCATCTTCGTATCTTATAGACTATAAAATTTAAAAGGTCTTAGTTGAAAAGATCTTCTTAGGGGTTTAAACTTAAAGCATTACTTTTAAAACAATATTTTAAAAAACAAATTAAAATAGGAAAACAAATTATTGGAAAACCCGAAAAAATTAAGGCTAAACAAATATCACGTTTTTTGCATTCTTTTTTTTTAGGTGGGGGGGGTGGGGTGAGATGGGGGGGGGGTTCTAATACTTCATGCTTCACTCATATCTCTTTTTCCTAAACCGATTGCAATCTCTCTCCTTTTTTACCATTTAAAACAAAACCTTGCAAAAATTTCCATTTTTTTTTAAAAATATTGTTTGAACCTTAAAAAAAAAAAAAAAAAGTTAGATTATATTCTTATAACCAATTGACGGTCTAGAAGATTTCAAACAGAAACAACCGTCACAATAGACCTAGGTAAATCAAATATAGAACACCCTACACTGTCTTGTTGACTGTTTTATAATTTTAAAAGAACTAGGTCATCACGTTTAAGGAAAGATTTTTTATCAACAAATATTTTAATCATTCATCACAACATTGAACACTATCAGGCACGAGGTCTAACATTGACATTCACGCATATTTATTGATATATAACCGCATTTAGAAAAGCAAAGGCGTCACGGCTGCTGACTTTCACATCATTGGTCACAGTTTGGGCTCCCATATTTCTGGTTACGCAGGCGAGAGGATCCCAGGCCTCGGCAGAATTACAGGTAACAAAGACGGTCGGTTGACTTAGAGTTTGATCCATTGATATTTTTTTTCTCACCCGTAGAGCTTCAGTTTAAATGTTGGACTTTACAAAATTTGGTATAAAAAGAACAAACCAGGTTCAAAATTACAACTCGCACTCAGGAACTCAACAGTTATTCTTACTGTAAAAATAATTGGACAAAGGTCTTGAAAAAGACCAATTTTAAAGAGCAACGAAAATAACGAACACGTGTTTTCAAGACCGAAAATAAATATACGTACGATAAAAAAAAATCCATTTCATTTTTTGACCCTTCCAAAAATATCTTATCTTATCTTACGTAATGCGTATTGTGTTCCACAAAAACGTGTTACATGCATAGTTACAGTGAATATTTGTTTTGTTATTGAAAAGGTCTTGACCCAGCTGGTCCATATTTTGAGAACACCGACCCAGTTGTAAGACTTGACCCCTCTGATGCTGTCTTCGTCGATGCCATACACTCTGACGGAGAGTCCCTGCTCGTGTTAGGTCAGGTATTGGTTTATTCTTTACGCTCAAAAAAGTGTGCATATTTTTAAAGGCTAAATGTAACGATAGCAGTGCAATCTTGAAAACGAATGTTTCATGCATATCTTCGTTTTAAAAGAAAAAACTTAATTCCCGTTGTTACTTTTGTCCATTTAGGTTTGGGAATGAAACAAGCTGTAGGTCATCTTGACTTTTATCCTAACTTGGGACGAGACCAGCCAGGCTGCACGAGAAATCCATTCACAAATATCGCTGAGTGGGGACTAATCCAAGGTATGTTCTTAAACTGAAGTAACGTGAAGTCAAATATATTCAACGTTTCATTAAAATACCACAGTACAAAACAACAGAATTAAAAAAAAAAAATAAAATAAAATAATACTCCAGAGATATAAATATACTGAGTACACTTTTCTTGTAATCCCTATACAACTTAGGTACCACAGAGGTCGTGGCTTGCAATCACTTCAGAAGTGTTCACTTCTTCATTGAAAGTGTCAACTCCCCATGTCCTTTCATGGGCTATGTCTGCAACAACGAAGCCGATTTCTCTGTAAGTAAACTCTTAAGGAACAAAGACGCAAAAGAAAAAGAAAAAATTACCACAAAAATTTAAAAAAAAATAAATTACAAAAGCAAAAAAAAATACAAACAATATAGGTAAATAAGCATCAACAAAAACAGTAAATAGTTATAAAAAATACAAAACACTCTAATTGTAAATTATTATTTTTTCGATGTTTAAGTTTCGATACTGTTTTATAGGTTCTGATGAAAATACATATATTCATGTACTTAGCAAAACGATATTATATGTTTGTTTTAGTGTATTTAGTTACGTCCCATGAATTAACTCTTTCAAACAATTCAGGAAATGTTAATCCTAAATTTGATTTATTTGAAACAAGTATACATGATGCTATATAATATAATTCTATAAAATTTTGAGGACATTGTTTATTTTCATACATCAAGTAATTAATCAAAATGTTTTATAGAGTGGTAAATGCAATGAGTGTGGGGTCACTGGGTGCGCCTTCATGGGAGCTCATGCTGACAGAAGCATCCCACCAAGAAATACGCACAGACACGTGTACATGTCAACAGCCTCTCATCAGCCATTCTGTCGTAAGTTTTCTTTTTCCCACTCCCCCCAAATGAATCAGCCATTCTGTCGTAAGTTTTCGTTTTCCCACTTCCCCCAAATGAATCAGCCATTCTGTCGTAAGTTTTCTTTTTCCCACTCCCCCCAAATGAATCAGCCGTTCTGTCGTAAGTTTTCTTTTTCCCACTCCCCCCAAATGAAATGTTACATTAAGAAATGGCGTCAGCGGGGCGAGTCTAGACTCCTATGCCCCCCCCCCCAAATTACCCCTCCCCGGTCCAACGTATCGGGCCGCGGAGCGGCACGTTGAAGATGCCCACTGGTCAGGACGGCCCCCACACGGGCCCTTCACCCAAGTCCCCCGCCTGGGCGCTCGACCAGGACCCCGCCTGGGGGCCACCCCAACGAGTAGGCACCCGGTCGATCCGACACTATGCGTTTAAACAGTAAACTCGATTGACCTTCTCAGGAGTTGGGATGGAAAGATTTATGTCCTAATATCTCCCCCCCACCCATCCCGGGAAAGCGTCGGACGCCCTATAAGAGGGATTCCACAGTGGCCTTCCACAACGCGACTAGTTCACGCCATAGCTGGGACGAAACGGTTGCCTACGGCAGCGTTCTCACGGCTGCATTATTTGAATCCTCGGCCAGAGGTTACCACCCTCGCCTCTGGCCTCATACCCGTCAACGGCAACTTGTAATCATGATCCCTACCCTGGCTCTGCCTAACTTTCCGACTGCGAAATATCACAACCGGCAGCCCTGTGGGAGCTGTTTTATGTACGGCAGGTACCGAGCACACCCTTTGTCTGCCCACGCGGGGCGTGCCCAGTAGTTATGTTTCCAGGCAAACGCCGAGGGGGTCGGTGGCCGACGCTTCCTAATCGGCAAGCCACCACAGACTTGTCAACCGGAAACCTGGAAACCCCCCCCCCTTCCCCAAATGAATCAGCCGTTCTGTTGTAAGTTCTCTTTCTCCCACTCCCCAAATGAATCAGCCGTTCTGCTGTAAGTTCTCTTTCTCCCACTCTCCAAATGAATCAGCCGTTCTGTTGTAAGTTCTCTTTCTCCCAATCCCCAAATGAATCAGCCGTTCTGTTGTAAGTTCTCTTTCTCCCACTCCCCAAATGAATCAGCCGTTCTGTTGTAAGTTCTCTTTCTTCCACTCCCCAAATAAATCAGCCGTTCTGTTGTAAGTTCTCTTTCTCCCACTCCCCAAATGAATCAGCCGTTCTGTTGTAAGTTCTCTTTCTGGGTGAGGGGTTTACTTAGTCGGCAAGACAACATTCAAGAGAATCTCCCACTCCCCAAATGAATCAGCCGTTCTGTTGTAAGTTCTCTTTCTCCCACTCCCCAAATGAATCAGCCGTTCTATTGTAAGTTCTCTTTCTCCCACTCCCCAAATGAATCAGCCGTTCTGTTGGAAGTTCTCTTCCTCCCACTCCCCAAATGAATCAGCCGTTCTGTTGTAAGTTCTCTTTCTCCCACTCTCCAAATGAATCAGCCGTTCTGTTGTAAGTTCTCTTTCTCCCACTCCCCAAATGAATCAGCAATTCTCACGTAAGTTTTCTTCCCCGCCACTCAAATCAATCAGCCATTCTGTCATAAGTTTTTTTTTCCCCAATACCCCTCAAGTCAATCATCGATTCTGTCATCAGTTGTTGTCCCCCGCTCTCGTCTAATCAATCCCATTGTAAAGCATCTTTAGATTTCTTCTACATCTCAAAATGTTTCTACATCCACTTAAGTGTAATGGGAATTTCATTTCTTTATGTAAAGTACAAAAAGACATTAAATTTACACACAACAGTGTTTGTCATTTCCAGCCAATGAAAATGTCACAGCGCATTGCGTAATATTACAGTCTTTAAAAATATTTTCGTAAAACATTGCGTTAAAAATATATATTTTCGCAAATATACAGCGATAAAAATTTGGTTTCTAAAATTTTTCTTAAATATATGAACTTGTAAACACGTTTTCATCTAGATTAAGATCCACTTTGCTGGCTCAAATTAATGTAGAGGTACCGAAGATCTGTTGAGATATTGGCCAAATAGAATATCGGGATGCTTTTTTTAATATCTTAATGATATTGGCAAGACTGTACACCCGGATGTTCTATTAATGGATGTCCACCATTAAATGTGAAATCCTATTTTAAAGAATATACATATATATATACATATATATTTAAAAATAATATACCAACATTTTTAGATACAAAAATACTTGTGCGATTGGCAAGAACAAAAAAAATATTTAATGAAAATAAAATATATGGTTAATGAAAATAAAATATGTGGGTTAAAATGTATTTCTTTTGATAATGATTGACGCCGTTGCAGTTGGCAGGCAAATGTTTCACAGCAATAGTGCATGATAAATAGTTTCCATTTAGCTTATGCTGTCAAGAATTTTACAACAAATACATTTGTAACAAATTAATGTTCCCTAATTTAAACCTCCAGTAAAATAAACATTCGTGTTACTTATTTCCAGAATTCCACATGGACATTACCGTGAAGCTGTCCTCGGGAACTGGTCAGATTGAGAGAGGCCAGCTGTCCGCTGTGTTTACTGGGGAGAAAGGAACAACCACGAAGATCCAACTGAACAGCAGGTCAGAAGTTCTTCTCATTCAAACGATATCAGAGTCTGCGTTGTGTTTAAGGGAAATGTTTAAAAACTTGGAATATCACTACAAATAAGCGTTTAGCCTAGTTTGCTATAGATATCATGAGAGCTTCTTGGTCGGTTCTTATTTTTTTTGGAGCTTGGCATTTCTACAACCTATTACACTTGCAAAAAAATGTATTTTGACATGTAGATAAGTATAAAAGGTGCCACCTTCCGCAGGTTTATAATCACTAATCTCACCTTTGGGTACATACTTATCATATTTTTACGTTAAATATACCATTGTAATAACGGATAGAGACTGAAATCAGGTTGCGTAAAATAAATGAGAGAAAGAAAGTGTGGAAAAAAATTGCGAAATTCCTTTTCCTGTCATGACGGATACTACATGGCAGCTATTGTCTGTAGTTTTTTTTTTTAATTTTGTTTACATTGTTTTTACTGTTGTTGATTAACTAAAGGGCTACGTGATGATACCTTGATTGTTTTGATGCGTCCTTTTTCTGAAAGTTTTCCCATACTTTGTTTTCACTAATTTTGTTTACGATAAATATGCCTATAACCAAAAAAAAAAATCATTTAAAATATAATTAATTAAAAAAAAATCTTAACAGTTTAAACACAACCAAACAATAAATTTAGCTCAGAAAAAACTTTCCTCATCACATAACGTGTTTTCAATGCTAAAGTTGAACTTTATAATGTTCAATTTTAAATACTGAATGTTCATAAATTAATTATGTATCCTTTTCTTTCAGTCCCATCGACTTCAACATCGGCAGCGTCCACCACTTCAATGTGGCCACGCCATCAGACATAGGCAACATCCGGTCTGTGACACTCTCTTTCAACCACGTAGCACCTCTTCTCAACCCTTTCCAGTGGAACCTCCTGGGACTGAGAGACCCCAAACTTTATATAGACGAGATCGATGTGGACAGACAGGAAGCCAATGTTAAGTGAGTACAACAGAGTGCACGTAGCTTTATGTGTGTGTGGGGGGGGGGGTCTTCTCAACCCCTTCCTTTGGAAAATCCTTGGACTAATAGACCCCAAACTTTATATAGATGAGATCGATATGGACAGACAGGAAGCCAATGTTAAGTTAGTACTATAGAGTGCGCGTAACTTTGTTGGGGGTGGGGGGTCTTCTCAACCCCTTCCAGTGGAACTTCTTGGGACAAATAGACCCCAAACTTTATGTAGACGAGATCGATGTGGACAGTCGGAAGGCCAATGTTAAGTGAGTACAACAGAGTGCACGTAACTGAATGGTTGAGGGGGGGGGGTTAGAAAAAACCGTATTACTCTAAAGAAAAAAGAATCATTATTTTGTACACCAAAATAAGTTCATTTAATCTATATGACCACTTATACAAAATCAAAGCTAATATTTGGACTCTTTTTGAAATGCATTTAATTCACCAAAATTTGATACTCATTAAAATGTGAGTTTACAATTTAAACATATGCATGTATTTCCTTCTCACTGACTTGTGCACACCGATTTGTGTACAGCGAATTGTGTACTCGGAAGTCGCTTGATTAAACATACATTCGGTCATTCGCTAATGACACAGATATTCATTTAAGCAAAGAGTAAATTATTATGAAATAACGTGCTTGTTTTAGAACCTTTGGCCTGGCAGTTTTTGGGGATAGAATATTAGATTTAATAATATACAATTCATTGTTTTTTGTTTTTGTTTTTTTTGTCTGGTTAGAAAACTATGATAAAATAATGTAATAACATGGTCGTTGGTATGTCTTCTCCAGGTCTCGTCTATGTGGCAGCGGTATCACCGTTGAAACAGACAAGTCCATAGTTTTAAACAAGAGTTGTTAGAAATCTAGACAGCATACAAGTGCAGCAGGTGTAATTAATGATGGATGTAATGCGGTCAATAAAGGTGTATAGGTTGCCATCAATGAGAAAGAGCGTTATGGTCATGGCTTCCTAATTGGTGTCATTTCATTTAATGTCAATAATGTGCACGCATTTAATAACCGGTCTAGTATTAAACCAAAATAACTGCTAGATTAATGTCAATGTATTGCACACTCATACTTGTGTATGGCATAATCATACAATTTAACGACACACTTATACTTTTTTATCACAAACTTATACATGTATGTTACACACTCATAATGTTTGTGTCATACTTATACATGTGCATGACACCTTCATATGACACTCATTCATGTTATTTTTTTAATATTTTTTAAATATTTTTTTTACAATAAAGATCCGAAATAACTAAAGTAATGAGCACAAAATCAGATCTGTTTTCTTTCCCAAATGCATATAATTTCTATTTCTATTCTTTTTTTTTTAAATAGTAACTTTAATAGTAATACTATTATCTTCAAGTTGACTATTGCAACTTAGACAATGGTATCAATATCATTGAGTTAAAACATATTTAAAAAAACATTTATTAAGATTTCTTAGACAAAACACAAAGTGTCTTTCAGTACATGAAAGTACATCAAGTAAAGAGAAGATAATGCCAGCCAGCGCCTTATAAGAAATCATAATGCATATAGTAGTTCGTGACTTACTACATCTTAAGATAAGAACATACTGAAATGAAATTAGATGACCGTGTTCTTTTGTTTTCTTTTATTAATTATCTGAAAATGTCATTTTAAATAAAAGTATGCCAAGGACAACAGAACATTTTTAAAGAATTAACCAAAGATTATTGAGTTAAACACGAGGACTAACATTTCCGGACTAACTTTAAAAGACTAACAATAAAAGACTAACATTACAGGACCAACATTAAAAGACTAAGATTTCATGACTGACATTCAAAGACTAACAATTTAGGAATATCTTTTAAAGACTAATATTACAGGACTGACATTTAAAAATTAACATTACAGGACTAACATAAGAAGACTAACATTACAGTACAAATGTTAAACGACTAAAATTACAGCACTAATATTAAAGAATACAATTTAAGGAAAACTGTAACATAACGCACGATAATAGTACAATGATTAATTTTTTTTAAAGATATTTTAAATAAGGTAGTTGGACATTTTAACATTTAAAGATAGCACAATAAAATTAGATCTCAATTTTGTATCAAAAGAAACAAACGAGATTGTGATATAGAATATTAATTTATTTAGGACAAAAATCAATTTCCTCAACAAATAAATGTCGGTTTTAAGAATGACTTAATAAGAAAACAGCAACAACAAAAAATGTATGTTTACTTGACTTGGTTGTCTTACAATGAGTTTCTTGAACATAAACAATGATTGTTTTTCTAAACATTCGAACATTCTTTCACCCAAAATGCACATCATACATGTCCTGGTAGATCTTACTGTAACATTACGTCTGAAATGACCTGGTAGATATTACTGTAACATGACGCCAGACATGTCCTGGTAGATCTTACTGTAACATAACGCCAGAAATGTCCTGGTAGATCTTACTGTATCATTACGTATTACAAATAAGTTCTTATGAATGTAGACATTTTTTAATGTGAATTTGCATCACGTGACATCCGTTTTTACATTCTGAATTTACAGATGAGTCAGTAAAAATGATCTCTGAAAGTGAATACAATAAAATACAAAATGCGAAAAAACTGTAAAAGAAAATTGAAGATTCGTGTTTGACTTTACTGGCTTACAGAACATCTGTACCGGTCTGTCCCCATTACAAATTCTCAACGGACGACGACGGAGAAACCTTTTTTCTTCATCCATTGAAATATTGACACCGAAAGAACATGACATTCCGTCAGCAAAAAAACACCTCCTCTGAGAATCAGTCTCAGAAACACAATTAGGACATCAGCAAACGCTTTGAAAATCACTACTCCTTTACAAGATGGACACCATCTTAAGGACAAAACTTGGGATGACTAGAAAACCACGCGTAGTGAACTCAAATTATACAAAGCGTAATATGGTCGTAAACATTGGAAAATAGACCTACGGGTGAAATATAAAACATCTGCGAATCTCAACCGAGAGGGCAAGCAGATCTTCGTGTTACAATGATCTTTAGGGATGTGTAGGAAATGCTTTTAGGACATCGGAGTGCTGTGAGTAATCTTAAATAGCATGGACACAAGCAATATAAATGTACTAAATCATAATCATCATCATCATCATATATCCATACATCAGGATGCCCTGGATGCTGATAGTCCAACATATCACAACGCAGAGCTGCGACTGCGAAAAGCTTCTACTGCCTCCAAAGACGCCATACACCACACGCTCTAGCAGAGTTGGGACCAGGCTGGAAAAACACAACAACTAGACTTATAAAAACAGATAAATTATAGTGTTTGACTTAGTTGATGATGATGATTAATTACTTGTATAGCGCTGATGTCATAAATTATATTTAACGAAAAAAAAGTCTTTTAATGTTTCTGAAATTATTTACATCTATTTAAAATTTAATTTCTTCAAAAATTGAGTAAAACTGTTCCATAATTTTTCCCTATAGCTTCAAAAGAGCGCACTCTGCGTTTCTTTTCTGTATCCATTCAACAATGGAAACGTTCAGTAGGGGCTGTGATGAAGAACGTAGCTTCTATAAGGCTACATGTTTTGGAAATCCTTTCTTTTAGTTAGTCAGGTGTAGTGCCTTCCATACAGCTGTACGCCGGAGACAGACATGTGCGGACCATGCGCTCACTCACAGGAATTGATGTGGAGGTCTTGATGAAATGGGGGGGTCATGTGGTGAGCTCTCATTATCCGCGATACCATGCGTGTTGCAGTATGTTGTACATTCTGGAGTCTCTAAATTTGGTTTTGAGGTAATATCTATATTCTAGGGCGCATAGATGACAGAAAGATCTACATTGATACAGCAAGATGTACAGGAAATTTTATATTAAGTTAATTGAATATTTCAAAACGACATTACACTAATTCAGGTCCATTATATATTTCAATTTAGTTTGCATTACTCTTGTTAATATTATTTCACCATCCAAATTGTAAAGAAAGAGGGATCTTACGTAAGCTATAATTATTCCTTATATAAGCAACTACAACAGTGGCAATAAACCTGTGGGTCGGGACCCATTTGGCGGTCGATCGACCTTTACACAGGGGTCGCCTGAGATCATTTGAAAACACATATTTATGGAGTAGCAACGATAATAATTTTATGATTAAAGGTCACCACAAATTGAGGAACTGCGTTAAAGAGTCACGGGCTATGGAGGTTGAGAACCACTGGACTGAAACGTTTTATATAAGATAAGTTGTCCAATAAGACAATTATATTGTCTCATATGTTTCTCTAGCCTGCTAGTTCATCCATATTCCTAACCATCCAGCTTTGATTCTGTCGTCAGTTGAGTCTAGCGAACCTTTGGACGTGAAGTCTACGTGCTGCTAAAACCGTGTTCACTCCTGAAACAAGTCCTTAACGCTCTAATTGAGACTGGGTTGATCGAAACGTGATCCTGCTGCCAAGTTGAAAGCAAGTAATCGATATGGATCCATCGCATCTTCCAATGACTTGTATAACGATAGTTGAAGTGTCGTGCACTAAAATGCACTGTCTAACGTGTAGAGTATCTTTTTAATCTGCACAGAGGTAGCGCTTTATTTCCAAATTTAATGATAAAATTGGCAATGTCGGTTGATCTGTTCTGATACCATACAGCATTAGGTAATACAATGTGGTTCACGGGTAGGTAGAAATGTCTAGTTCTGGGTAGAAATCACGTGGCATCACGTTATTACACGTATGAATTAGCATATATAAAACATGTATCACCTCCTTATACAACGAACAATTAAAGTTTATGCTATTCTTAAATAGACCAATTCTCTCCCCAATACATGTATCTAAACATTGACACTTTCTCTCCGCCTGTTTTTCTCTCACCCCCATTCCTTGCATCGCCTCTCACCAGCAGTCTTGATATCAATCCAACACGTACTCTCTAAACCAGGGGTCGGGAACCTTTTTGTCTGAGAGAGCCATGGACACCACATATTTTGAAAAATAACTCTGTGAGAGCCATACATTACGTTTAAAACTAAAAATTCAAGTAAATGTGTGTATTTTGCGTAATTTCAACACTAAAAATGCAGTAATTATGTCTCTGAATTCTTTTTAATAACATCGTTATGCTGTTGCTAATCAATAATGAGTATTTCTTACCATTAATGCGACTTTTTTTTTTATATTCGAACATTTGTCTGCGAGCCAGATGCAGCCATCAATAGAGCCAAACCTGGCTCGCGAGCCATAGGTTCCCGACCCCTGCTCTAAATCAACAGTTTCGTTTGATTACGCTCAAACCACTTTATACCACTTTATAAATTATTCATGCTAGTCTAGTCCTTTCCATTACCTGTTCGAGACCGAGGCACTTACATCGTCCGTGGTACACACAATTTGATTATGTCGCCACTTGCGGATATGACGTAACACAGCTAGACTCATAAAATACAAAATTACGGTGAAGACCTAAATCAATTCCTTGTAAACACAAGAGATTCTGTTAGTGAAACTATACATTTGAGAGATTGTACAAGAATCTTTAAAATGTGTTTATCAATGCAATTTCTACAAGTTCTAAATAATGAAATAAAATAAGTTTCTCTCTGTTTTGAATGACAATATCGTCTCTGTATTCTTATAAGTGTTTGGTGAACATATATATTTTTACATAAATGACATTAAACAATCGTTTAAAATAAAGATAATTCTTTTAGAAACAAGCGTCAATTTATATCTGAAATAAAAAATTGCTAATTTCATTTTTTTTTAAGTCAATGCTTATGTTTTGCTATGTAATAACATAATTAACGTTTACAGTGTTAAAATGTTTCTCTAAATTTTGAAACTCAATGTTTCATCTTACATAAATTGATACAACGTAAAGTGACCATGTTAAACAGCAAGACAGGTTCCCGTCAATAGATTACATACAGAGTATTCACTAGCCTTGGAAACGGTCACAAACCGTTTTAGTATCATATTCCGTTTGTAATTTATGGCACATGCTCGCCTGCTGGTCGTGTCGTGTTGCGCAATCATTGGGTGAATAATTTGTTCCTTTTAGGTAACGTGGTGAGTACCGGGCCAACGGTTAGAGCGATCATAAATACTTCATGGTGGTTACCGGGCCAACGGTTAGAGTGATCATAAATACTTCATGGTGGGTACCGGGCCAACGGTTAGAGTGATCATAAATACTTCATGGTGAGTACCGGGCCAACGGTTAGAGTGATCATAAATACTTCATGGTGGGTACTGGGCCAATGGTTAGAGCGATCATAAATACTTCATGGTGTGTACCGGGCCAACGGTTAGAGTGATCATAAATACTTCATGGTGTGTACCGGGTCAACGGTTAGAGTTATCATAAATACTTCATAGTGTGTACCGGGCCAACGGTTAGAGCGATCATAAATACTTCATGGTGGGTACTACTCTTCGAAACACTGACCCAACAATCCCCCCACCCCCCTTGAATTTCCCGACAAACAGAGAAACGTACACAATTTCAATAAGTCATAATCTTTGTTTTGAAGTTTGAGCAGTTAGAGTTATCATAAATACTTCATAGTGGTTACCGGGCCAACGGTTAGAGCAATCATAAAAACTTCATGGTGGGTACTCCCCTTCGAAACACTGCCCCAACAACCCCCCCCCCCCTTGAATTTCCCGACAAACAGAGAAACGTACACAATTTCAATAAGTCATAATCTTTGTTTTGAAGTTTGAGCTATTAAAGCTACCACCAAAAAATAAAATAAAATAAAATAAATAAATGAAACAATGATTAGATAAAAATCATTCTTTCAATTTTCATAAAATTATTCTTAACTCACGATACATTTAACCCCATAAGTATAAAGAAATATTAATAATTTGCAACTAATTGTTTCATTTATCAATCTTTTTTTATCTTCAATCCAACGTAACTCCAGCTGTTTTACGTTTTGTTTTTTTGTTTCGTTTTTTTTGTTTGTAAACTGACCTACGACTGTGTCTTCATATAAATAAAAAGACGGTTCGCTTAACATGCAGACTTTATTTATGCATTCTTTAC